GAGATTCAGTCTTTCTAATTGCTTTTATCATTCATCGTTCATCCCTTTCTCGCTTTCATCAAAAGAATATTTTGCTCTCTTCTTCTTTCCCTTTTCAAGTCTCGTAGATTCGCGTAAGTTATAATGAGATTAAAAAGTGTCTCGGGATGCAGACATTGAAGGATACAGCAATTCTGCAAATTCTTCCATATCTGGCATTCCATTCGCTGGATTTTTTAAATGAGTCGCAGTAGATTCATCTGTGTTATTGTAAGAAAGAAAATCGCCGAAGACAAGAATAAGGATAAAAGGAAGGAATAATGGAAATAAAGAAAGAAAGAAAGAAAGAAAAATGAAAGAAAAACAGAGGAAAAAATAAGTTAAAGAAGGAAACAAAGAAACGCAGACGATGTCCTGAAATATAAAAGCACAGAAGGGGTTTCAAAAGTATCACTTAGAAAATATTCGTACCTAGATTAGATGTCAGAAAATGAAAATTAAATATATCTTTTACTACATTGTAAGTAGAAATACCCATATATATTTATGGAGAAAAAAAAAAAGAAATGACGCCTATTACGATCCAAAATATATTGCAATATTATTTCAATAATGAAAAATATATAAAATATGAATCGTTCTTCATATTTTATTAAACTTTTCTTTATCTGTTTCTGGACCTTTATTGTAATATAAACACGCCATTGTTGGTGTGATTAAGCACAAAATGGAGGACAAAATGTCGCAGCATCATATTTACTTCATGTAGAATATTTAAATTGCTATTAGTGATTTTCTGGCGTAATGATATTACGAGGTTAATCTGAAAAGTTCATAGGCTGACTACGAAGAAGTGATGTTACAGTTGTGAAATCTTGTATGCTTTAGTTTCACCTTCTTTTATTAAGAAATCTATTGCGTTTTTCTCAGGTAAACTGTTATCTGACTTTACAAAGTAGACTTCAAAAGTAACAAGTAGCGACTTCTCTTGAAAATGTACAAAATTTGTCATCGTGATTTTACAAAATACCTGCAGATAAAAGGGTTTACACCTCAACGATATTCATGCTGACATGTTTGCTAAATTAGGGAATGATGTCCCAGCTTTATCAATACTGCAAAAGTGGACAGATGAATTTAGGAGGGGAATGGAGAGTCTTGAAGATGACCCAAGATCTGGACATTCTGCAATAGCCACCACCGAGGAAAACATTGAATGTGTTTCCCACATGGTGATTGACGATAAATGGAATAGCCAATGCTCTTAGCATATCCCGTGAGAATATTTTGCACAATGAACTTAGAATAACATAGATTTCTGATCGTTGGATGCCACTTCTCTAACATCCGATTAGAAGTGCACTAGGCTGATCACATCACAGAAAAATCTGACATTGTTTGAGACATTTCTTAACCCAGAATGAGTATTTGATTGATTTCTTTGAACCAGAAACTAAAAGACAATTCATGCAGTGGAAACACTCCTCCTGATATGCTCCAAAGAAAGCCAATACCGTTTCATCTGTAAGGAAGCTGAGGGCTTATGTTTTTCGGGTTGCAAAATTGCATTGTGTTTCTAAAGATCCACACAATCAAAGGAGAGTACTATGCCAGTTTGCTGAGGCTATTACAAAACTTACCAAGTTCAAACCCCGAGGAGAACTGAAATCATGACAATGTTCTAGACCACACTTCTTGGGTTTCAATAGATGTTGTACATGACTGTGGTTTTGAAGTAGTCGATCAAATTCCCTATTCTTCTGATTTGATCTGTACTGCAACAGGAAAAAAAGCACTTGGCTGGGAACCATTATCGATGACGTTATGTCTGCTGTTGATAATGTTTTGAACAATAACATGAACAGACTTTGAACTGCCAGATGTCAGTTTACCTGGAAAGAAAAAATGCAATTATTAATAAAAAGGCTTGTACTATGGGAAATTTAGCTTAAACACCGCAAATTGCTACAAAATCAAAACTTTAAGATGAAAATACGAGTCATATTCTTAAATAACCTTGTCCGATCGAGACTTTTATATGGATGACAGGCATGGCGCCTAACTCGCTCACAAGTATTTAAACTATAAAATGTATACAACCACCTTCTCAAAGGAACGGTTATAATGGCTTTGAGTGAATGAAGCCTGTTTGTCTTGGCGAAATCCACACTTCAAAAATTGTGGACAGGTGCTAATGAATCAAAAAGAACTGTACCAAATAACCGAAAACATTTCCTTAAACATCCCAGTTAATCTTCATGGTATACTCAGTATATGGAACTAGAACAGTCTACCCCAGCGAACGAAATAAAATGTTCAGTTCGACATTCCAATCACCTGAAGACCGGAGCGCACAACGGCCGAAACGTTGTGATGAATATAGCAACAAAGATGAGGACAATAGTCCGAATAATGTAAATAGTGGATATAATACCTCATCTCAGAAATATAGGCAGATACCGGTGTCTACTTTGTAGCGTGTCCTTTTTTTCCATTACTACCTTGTTGAAGAGTTTTTTCTGTCTCCTGTCTGGGTCTGCCATGAAATAGTGCCGGCCGCTTATCTTACATTGCTGAGATCATGTCCGCCCAGTCGTTAATAAACCCTCTATGGCCATCTAGTTTTTTATGACCTTCTCACTGTAAAGATTAAATAAATACGCTGAGAAAAATAATCCTTATTTAATTTCTCTTTCTATTTTTATCTGTTCATATAACTTGTGCTCTGTCCATTCAGGGTTATATTATCTCAATTTGCAATTTTTTAATGGACGCTATTTCTTTTTTTCTTCTTCTTCTTCTGTTACTACACTCTCTTTTTCGAAGCCAGTATATTTTTTTCTGTTCCTAGTCACGACGATATAATGTCTATTTTCTTTAGAAATGTCTCTCACCAAGCCATTTTTATTTTCTTTCTTAGCTCTTCTTCCACAACTCAAATCTCATTTCTTCTTGTTTGTTCCGCCTGGACAACTCGTCTTTGCTGGTTGCCATCATTCAAAGATTCCAAACGAATTTATGACAATAATGTATGCTGGAGACGTGTAAGTGCCATCACGGATTTAACCTATTGTAGGCTTATTCTTGTTAAATCGTTTTTTTTTTAATAACCCAACATTAAAACTGCATCGACAATATGGGGTTAAGAATAGTGAATATGAGAGACAGAAATAGAAATGGAAAAAATGTTCAAGCGAATGGCCTCTTCATTTTATTTCATGGAGTGTTTCATGTTGCATTCCTTTCGCGTGACATGGGTGGAGAACGGAATTTTGGAACTTTTTAAAATTTTGCATTGAGAATACGCTTTTTAGATGAGTTATATATCGTAAAGAGGAAAGACTTTTTTTCTTTTCTTAATCACTTCGAACTTTGCTTTTGTCAGGTACGAAAAGAAAAAAACAAAAACCAGGCCCAATTTTTATGTTGTAAATATCGCCATGTCATACATTAAAACACACTATCTTACTTGCTTATCTTTTTCTCTTTTTTGTTCAGAAAGAAGAAAACCGCGATCCGTCAGAAGGTTTTTTTACAAATCCCATAAACTTCAATAACTCGAATTTGCTTTTAAAACATTTTGTCAAATTTTAAACGATTAATTTAGACGTTAAAACAAATTTTGAGTTAAATGTTTTAGGTAATTTCAGTATTTTTTTATTAAAGTTATTGGATTTATTATAAATACTACAGTTTGAAGTTATTATTATGCAGATTACACTAATATTCGTTTAAGACCTCTTAAAACTAATAAAATCTATTTGAAACATGTGTAATAGAAACGATCTAAGAAATGCTGTCAAACAGAAAACAACAATGTTATTGAGTAAAAGAAAGATCATATTGGAGGTATCAAATGAACTTCTCAGCGACCATCACACAATAAAGAGGGCTGTTGAAAATATAACTAAGTTGGTAACTAGAAACAAAAGAAAAAGAGTTTAAGAACTTTTGTCCTCGCGAGGAACGTAATGTAAGACGAGTTAAAGTGAAAGAACGACTCTTGACCAGTGCTTAGATCTTTGGAATAATTGATATTGAAGGAGTCAAGTAGGACAAAATTTGTAGAATACTTCTTAAATTGGGTTCTGTCAAGAAATATCCGAGGCAAACTCCGTCCAGTAATATAAAAAATTTTTTTTTGTTTCCTTCTTTCTTTTCACTCTCCTACCAACTCCTTGTGCCAGACACAAAATTTAGTTGGCAGAATAAACGATAACTGTCGTTAGTAGGCGCGAGTTAAAAATACAAGACAAATCACTGCGTAAAATTTTAAAACAGAAAAAAAACATTTATTGTACAATTACTTTTACAATAATCACAAAGGTACAAACAAGGACAAGAAAGGTTGCACAAAAATTTCCTTCTGTGCGCCTAACATGGCAGGATAACAATACTTTCCTGGGGTTTCTAAAAAAAAAGGAAATACCCACAGAAACAAGCTATGAAATTAATAATTGTTTACTTTAACTCCGGTTTTTGAAAATTCAGACCCTTCAAAAATACAAAAAACACCAAAAGAAGGGATAAAGTTTTCAGACCCTTTACAACAATACCAAAAAGGGACAAAGTTTTAGAGCTTTTACAAAAGTACATAAAAAGGACAGAGATTTTAGAGAGACCAACACATAGCAGAACGCAAGGCACCCACCTCCTTCCTTAGAAGAATTTTCCTTGACTACAGGCCGGATTGGTTTGGAAAAGGTTGGTTCTACTTTCTTTGAAGAATTTTCATTGACAGCAGGCCGGATTGGTTTGGTTTGGTAGTTGGAGAAAGGCTGATTTATGCCCCCTTGCCGGTCAATGTAGAGTGTTGGTGTTAAGTGGTCTGCGAACTGCGGGTCGTCTCTGCCTCTGTTCCCTAATCGTTATATTGCTTCTACCGATCGTTTCTTAATGTCCTCTCTTTTATTTGGAAAAGTCGGCTCCACTTGGGGCCATCCGGAATCTCGAAAACTCAATTTTCATTGGCCAATATATGAAAAAAAGGCCCTTCTAAAATTTTCACTTTTGGCGGCTATTCCTGATCCGAAAGGGTCATAAAATTTACACAAGAAAATCAGAGTTTGGCAAACAATTTTGGCGGCAAATCGTGATCCGAAATGGTCAAAAAATTGCACAGTTTTTTTTTTTACACACACACACACACACCGTCCGGCTTACAAAAAAATACACCTTCCTCAAAAGACGTAAATAAACAAAAAAAAAAACAACACCTAGACGGTCTTACATTTAAATTGACTTTTTTTTAAAAATTCTTTCTTTAAATAAAAAATAAAATTTTTATAGTAAAGCAAATATTTTAGTGTCAAAACTGGGCCAAGAAATACAGGAAAAAAATGACTTTTCTAAAGTAATTTTGGCAGTTGAATCTCCAGTGATAATCGCTGGACCCGATGGATGGGCCAAAGGATTACTTATATCCGATATATATGTGCCTGTGGCTAAAATAAGACAGCAAGGATGAAGCAATATGGCTGGAATTATCGACCAAACCATTGCTAGGCCATTTACACTCGGTGAAGGACATAAATTGAACAGTTAATTATTGCAATTTCATGGACAAGAATTTTTATATGGTACAGATCTCTTGCAGTTTCAAAGGGAAGTGTGTATTTATGCAAAACAAGGCTCCGATTCATCTTACTAAGGTTACCGTGAATTTTCTGAGCGTAAAAGGTTTACAAGAGAGAAAATAATAGAATGGTCACCATTAATTATTGATCTAAATACGATAAAAAATCTATGGTCAATTATGAAGATGGCAAATAATATGCCAGCAAAGCAGACCTATGGGAAGCAATTAAAACTACCCTAGCTGAAATTGAACCTGTTGAAGTAAAAAAAAAAAAAAATTAATAAAATCAAGGAATGATAAATTGTTGGCTGCTGTTGAGAAGAAAGATCACTAGATTAAGATTTAAATGCCTTAAACATTTTGCATGTTTTGTTTTTTTCTTTTTATCAGTGTTGATTATATGATTGCATTTCCTTGTTATTGAAGTAAAAAGTAATTTTCTGTTTTTGCATCATAACATAGAACTGCAGTTTTTATAATGAATCCAATAATTTTAATAAAACATTTGAAACTACTTAAAGATTTAACTTAAGCTTTGTTTTGACGTCTAAATTAATTTAAAATTTGATAAAAAATTTTTCAAAGAAAATTCGAGTTATTTGTTATTTGCATAATAACTTCAGACAGACTGTAGTTTGGTAAAGAAATAAAGAATCGTTACCAGAAAAGCAAGCCTCATATTGTAAAATCTTCCTAAACAAAAGTGTGGATTTTATTAGCATTTAATTATATATACTGCACGACACGTGCGCAAAAACAATAAACGTAGTTTTGTAAAATCTACCTCATTGACATTAAATAAATGTCGTCCATGATTTTCGTTTGGTTTGTTTGTTTTTTTTATGGCATATCAACCTCAATGAGTTATATAATGCCGGCAATTTTTATTGCTGGTAATATATTATTTTTTAAAAAAATGTATTTCTGGTAATATTTTTTCCCTTCAAAAATATATTTCTTGTAATATTTTTTTCAAAAATGTATTGCTGGTATTTTTTTTTTCAATGTATTGTTGGTAATATTTTTTTCCAAAAATGTATTGCTGGTAATAATTTTTTTAAAGTATTCCTGACATTAAAACCTATATTTACACTTTCATAAACTGTTTGCCCATAGCTGGGGCCCTAAAAGGTGCTATCGCCCCAGGTCAGGGTAAAACTGGAACCACCAGCAATTAAGAAGTGGTTCCACGCTCCTAAAACCTCCTGATCAGAGGCCTTGCTGTTGGACGCAATGTATCGTCTTACCCAGGATGTGGATGTAGTTTATCGTCATAAACAGGACGGCCATGATTTTCATGAAAGACGTTTTAGAAGTGTGGATTTAACTAGCATTTTAATATACTAATTGTTTTGCACGCTGCTTAGACTAAAACCTCTATATTTCTAAAATCCACCTCACTAGCATAAAATAAATATTGCGTAGGATTTGTATGCAAATTGTTTTAGAATTCAATAACTAAATGATTGTAAAACCAACTTCATATCGTAAAATAAATACCTTGCATTATGTTTATGTAAGGTATTTTAGAATTGTATATTTTAATCTATATCATTTATATAATATATTTCATTTATATGTACTAAGGTACGTTCCGTAAAACAATATTCGTATATTCGTAAAACCAACCTCCACCAGCAGAAGTTAATATCTCCAATGCTTGGGAGATTTTCCTAATATTTAAACGTAAGAAATGTATGTCTTTAGTAAATAAGCTTACGGTCATATCACGTTGAAAACGCTATTCTCGTACGGTATCTGGTAAGCAACACCGAGCCTGGTTAGTAATTATATGGGTGACCGCTTGGGAATGCAAGGTACTGTAAGGTTGGATTCGAAAGTGTTGTAATGGACAGTATTTACATTAGTCGAACTATTGTCCTCATCTTTGTAGCCATATTTGTCACAACGTTTCGGCCGTTGTACGCTCCGGCCTTCTTCAGGTGGTTGGAATTTCGAACTGAACCCTTTATTTCGATCACTGGGGTAGACTGTTCTAGTTCCACGTGCCATGTTTGATGGATGTCAGTTATCAGTTATCTCCTGCTAATTTTCCCTCTGAAGGTTTTCCACTGCCTTAACCAGGAATTGAACTCACCTTCTTTGGGTCTGTCACTGGATCTAACCAACGCCTTTATCCACTGTGCCATGTGTCCTTGAGAACATCTCAGAAATATAGACAGACTCTGTTTTAATGGATAACAGCTCGGAATTTGAGATCGAAGAGCCGAGTTCCAATTCCAGTCGGGTTCATTATATTTAGTTATACACAAATACTCTTGGGAAAGGTATGAATCCAGCTCTTCTTCGCCGCAGCTATGGGTCAATTAGTAGGACTTGTAGCATTAACTCTTTTTTTTATTTTCAAAAAATTCTTACAACCTAGAAATATTTTGTGCCTTTAAATAATCCGCAAAAGTTGATAAGCCGTAAAAAAATCAACCCCTTATTTTACTAAATGAGTAT